TGGCTATTGTTGACTGGTGTGATGTTGTAATGGGGGTGATGCTTGTCTCTAATGGCATCATGGATCTGATTGGGCTTCTCGACATTTCGCTAGCTTCGTCGGTATTTACAGTTGTCATCTTCAAGAGAGATGATGTGTGGTTTTTGTTATCGTTTTTCCCGCACCAGAAAACACCAAATGATACGACCTGGTCCTCCGGTTGTCTGATGTGGTCACTCCGATCACTATATGGTGGCTCTGATTACTTTGGGAAGACCTGCGAGGTTACAACAAGGGAAATGTGTCAACCGTTCTCCAAGAGGAGCTTCTAGGAAACGCTCTGACGGGAAAGTCAGTGACTAAACTCAAAGTATGTGGTTTGAGCTGAGAGGGAATGGCTTACTCTTCAAGGTGGCAGAGGAGGTCTTTTATATTGAGGCCTCCTGCCAGTCCATACATGGGACAAGGTCATCAGGTCCGACAGGGTCTGACACCTTGGTTGGTTAATCGTGCTCTTTGGTATGCCAAAGCTAACGATTGGTTTAGGTAGTAATGCTCTGAGCATACTCCTTGTATCTTGGATCCGTTAAATTTGTCGTGGAGTGGAAGGCACCCGCTTTAGGTCTGGGCCTTCCACACGGATACCCAACTCTAAAGGGACGCCCGAGAGCGCGAGACTCCATCGGGGCGGCTATGCTGGGTGTAGTTTGGTCTAGCAGCCCGCTTAGAGGAACCTTTAGTGTTAGCGTGACTGAGCGCAACTCCCAGTCCGTGCTAGGGGCACGTTATCAACATGTTATGAAAAAAGAGTATTATAGTAAGGGGGAAGTAGCATCCATCACCCGAGTGACATCTAATCATGATGATCAAATCAAGAAGGGACCATATTATGACGTGTTAACATTATGGGGATTAGCCAAGTCTTACAAATGAGAGAACCCACATGCATACACATATTCAAAAGGAGGCATAAAGGACTAAACAAGATAGTTCAATACGGTTAGGAAAATTTTCCTAGTGTTGTAAAAGACAACCAACAATATATTAGTCAAATACGAAAATAAAGTACAAAGCAGAGGCTAAAACAACTTAGAAAGAACAAATCATGTGACAAAGAGAAAGTTTTGAAGGAAGAAGTGAAGATGAAAAAAATCAAGATTAATGACCAAGTAGTAGACGGGTTCATGAAAGGACCAGGTACTAGAAAATATGATGGCTTTATTTTTCGGCTCAACATGGTACGACGAATAAGGTCTAGAACGACATAGAAGACCCTGGAATTTTATGGAATCTTCTAGAACACCATGGAAGACAATGGAACATCCTAACTTATCTAGGAAATGGTAGAACATTCTAGAAACTTATGAAAGCTTGTATTAGATATTAACTATGCTAGACAGTTCAAGAATAGTCATGAATGTATGAAGCTTTTATGAAGATCAAGAAACTCCCCATTAGGAGGTGGAAACACCAATAAGTATGTGTACAACTCATTTTCTCCAAACCATTCGACCATATAATAAATAATCCAACAAAGCAAAATGTAGTAGTCACTCAAAGTGTAAATTCTTCTCGAATGAGCTTAATAAAAAGTGTTGGTTTTTCCCATATAAAGAATTGTCTTCAACAATACTTTGATTCTGTTGTTCAAGAGAGTTATTAGTATGTGTGTGTATATATATATATATATATATATATATATATATATATATATATAGAGAGAGAGAGAGAGAGAGAGAGAAAAAAAAAGAAAGAAAGAAATAGAGAGAGAGAGAGTGAGGATCAAATGAGAACACCAAAAAAATTGAGAACACGAGAATAGTTCTCGACCAACCATTTTATAAGGGTAAACTGTAACTTTATATTTAATTTAATTTATAAGATATTAATTATAAATCATGAACTCCTAAAATCTAGTAATAATTGAAGTTACTAAAAAAAATAAAATAGAAATAACAGATTTTTTTAGTTAATAGAATATGAATATAGTTTTTAAATCATTTTTTCTATTAAAAAAGCAATGTTTTCTATTCTTCAAAAAAAAATATACAACTCCAATCACAAATAAATACATTTTTATTCACAACTAAAAACACTACCTGTTCACTAATAAAAGCACATCTATTCACAAAAAAAAACATCCGGTCGGAATCTCATGTTTTTTGTCATTTGGAAAATAAAGTTAGTCTAAAAATCATAATTTCTTAACAAAATAAGTTGTCTAAAAATCATAATTTCTTCCAAAATGAATAAGATCTAATCACAAATATAAAATGAATTGTGTAAAAATCATAGGTTCTTCACAAAACGAATAAGCTCTAATCATGAATGAATATATTGTTATTCATAAATGAATATATCTTTAATCACAAATGAATATACATAATTATAATATAAATAAACTTAAAAAAATAGCATGATTTAATCGATTCAGCAAAGAGACACACTTCTGATCATTATTGTAAACACTTCAAAATATACCTCTACTCATATGAATATACATAAATACATATTTAATCATAAATAAATACATATGATGTATATAAATTACTATCAAAAAGAAAATATTTATAAGAGACATAGAAACCTAATGACTATATTGTATGTCTCCATAATAGAGGCAAAGAGTGAAACTCATATTCTTGTTTTTTCTTGGTCATGTGTGAAATAAGGAAAGAAACACATATCCAAACTCTGTTCATCACCATTTTTTACATATAGAGAGGGGAGTAGTCTTTATTTGGTTCTTCAAGCTTAGTACTAAAAAAAAATCATACTCAGACCCACATTGATTGAAACAAGTGGAAGATGGCTGTAACTTCCTTTTTTTTGCTATCATAACTAGCAAAGAGGGAAAACCAACATTTTGATTTTGTCTGTAGCCAAGAAAAGAAAAGATGGGGGTGGCATTAGATGGCTGAAGGTTGAAGCACTAATTTAATCATAGAGATTGAGAGAGCTCAGACTTACATAGATTTATTCTGAGAGGGCTACGATTTCTGTTTTTTTTTTGGTCAAAGATATACACATGTACACCAAATAACATACCACCATCACCATTACTAGGTCTTCATCGCAGTACTGTTTTCACTGTCACAAACCAACTAAACAACACCATACACATATACAAGATGAGGTTAGTATGCACAAAATAATATAAATAAGAACAATAAGATCAGGATAAGATTAAAATGATATAGAATTGTGTGTGTGACTACAATGGTGATTTTTTTCAATACCTTTGACCCTTTCGATGAACGGATTTTCCCCCTATCTCGATCTCTCTCCGAATCATCTTGCAAGGGACAACATTTAGACTGGGGAAGAGGGTCGATTGTGGCTGCGACATCAGATGATGATGGTGAACAATGGTGTTAGTAGATGGCAGTGTGTCGGAGATTAGTGCCCTTCGGCCATCGCTCTTGGTTGGCGCTGTGTGGGATGATGGTGGCTACGGAGTGGGATGAAGATGTTCAACAGATCTTGATGGTCGTGTGCATATGATGGATGTGATTAACTATAAAAACCTAGGTATATAGAAAGAAAAATGGGAGATACGGTAAGATGAAAGAAGTATGGAGAAAGAATGAGTACTTATAGGAATATCTTAAGTTGTATTTATTGTTATGCCCTTTTAACCATTTTAAAGTTACACTTTAATACCAACAGTTTCAGAAAATGATATAAATGGCTCGTTTGATAATAACCTTATATATAACTATTTAAATGGTTTAGATTTGTTCTCGCATTTTCAATCTTTTCGGTGTTCTCAATTGATCCTACTTCTCTCTATCTCTCTCTCTCTCTCTCTCTCTCTCTCTATATATATATATATATATATATATATATATATATATATATATATATATATATATATATATATATATATATGGAAAAGTGAATATACCCTACAAGATATATAAGCTTAGGTACCCCAAACTCATCATACTACGTCGTTTTGCATCGTATATACATTATAATCGTACAAAGTTCTTAAACTTCAACCCCTAGTTTGATTTACTTCCAAGATTTTCGAAATTTCACTATTGTCTTCCTCTTACATGATACATCACATCTTTCTACCGAACACCTACCAGTGTATATATATCATAGTTGCAAATGAAAATTATGTAAGAGGAATATAATGGATAAATTTCTAAAAATCTTTGAAGTAAATCAAGTTAGGAGTTGAATTTTAAGAACTTTGGACCAATTACAATGCACATATGATATAAAACGACGTAATATAGTGGGTTTGAGTAACTAAGCTTATATACCTTGTAGGATATATTCACCTTTCCTATATTCTTATATATATATATATATATATATATAATATATATATATATATATATATATATATATATATATTAAAGATGACCACTTCAATGAATAGTGAAGTTGTGTGCTTTTTGGCAAGAATAGTCCATGGAGGTGTTGTTTCCGTTCGTTTTTTGTGTCTGGGCATTTTATGAAAATATTCACATTCTTTTATACACGTGTTGATGATCGTTTGGTTTTATCCGCTTCCGGATCTTTCCCCCTGCGTCCTTATCTTCGAAATTTCAGATGAGCATCCAAACCTTCCGTTCTCTTTCTTCCTTCGTAGGTGCTAGAGAAGGTGAGCCGTTTTGGATCGGTTTTTGATCACCATCACGAATCAGTGGTGAGTATTTTACCGGAGACTAGGGGGTGTTTGTTTTATCTTTTAAACCAACTTTTAGCCTTTATATTTTCCTAAAAGTTAAAAAGGAACCAAAAGATGTTTGACAAAGGGAAAAGTCTTTTAAAAGCAACTTTTTAGAAAGAAGGAAAATAAACATTTTGAAAAATCACGGGAACGTGACTTTTTGTAACTTTTGAAACCCTTAAAACTGAAATTACTTTTATGCCCCCAACTACCCTAATCCCAATTACCGTTTTTAGTCATTTTACATGTAAAAGTTAAACCAAAAATTTTTTAAAAACAACTTTACTTTTGCTTCTTAAAAAGTCAAAAAAAGTACTCTAAAAAAATATCACAAACACCCCACCCCCTAGATCGGTGTTTCTCGTGATCAGGTAGACAAGATCGGCGATTTCGGTCTTTAAGAATGAAGATGCAGGCACCGACACACGCATCAGGTCAATCGTCTGTTTCTCACACCCATTTATGATGATTCGATTTGTTTTGTCGAAATCAAAATCCATCGGACCTTCTACTGCTTTCATCTGTTGAAGAACACCACTGCGAGGTTGAAGAACCCAAACCCGGTGATTCAACTTCATCCGCGAAGTTGAAGAACGCGTTGTCGCCGGCGCTCAGTAATAGCCACCGTTGGCCAATCCGTCTCCATCTTGTATGCTTCATTAGTTGGTGATGGAAGAGAAACAACACCTACACCCCTGTGTGGGTTGTCGTTTGATTAAGAAAAAGCAGATGGGGGAACAGATCGAACTGACATCTTCTTATTCTTTTTCAATGCGATTGTTTTTCTATTTTTCTTGAAATTTTCCTGTTTTCCTTCTTCTTATTTGACTATTAGTTTCGTTCTCACATCTTACACTTATGGTGGATGGCTAATATTTGATATTAATGGTATTCCAGCAATACATCAATATCGTTAAAAGGACAACACAAAATTTGTAGGTCAAATGGAACAAAGAAAGTCAGCCCTGGCCTAATCAACTGCAAATAAAGGCAAATGAAAACATATTCCAGATTATTTAAGTAAGCTGGTGGTTTGACATTAAGATTTAAAAGATGTTATTGTTTATTTTTTAGTCTCTCAATCGTTCACTTTCATGTGGAATTACACTGCCAAAAAGGTCCCAGATGATGGTCTGATTGTTGCTAAACCTTTACCTTTCGTGAAATTGCAGGTGCAACAATGAATTTCAAACATGATTGCTTCTTAAAGGGGGTGGTCAAATATGTGGTCAGTTCTTTCTTCTTCTTTGACAATTCCATACTCCAATATAGGTAACCAAAATATGGTTAACATGTTTCTATTTTAGATGCATATGAAGTGTTCTATGAAATGCCCAAATGAACCTTCTGTTCATAAAAGTATTTTTCAAGTCTTAAGAAAAGACATCATGTAGTGGTGTTTGAGAAAAGACAGCGTTAGCTTTGTATTATTATATTGTTGGTTGTTTGTTTCGATCACAAAGCTTCTGATCCACTTTCTCTCAAATGCAGAATCCCGTGTCACATATTCCCGAGCCATTTGTTTTTTTATATAGAAAACATTTTTATATCTGGAACTATTTTTTTTTTTTTTTTTTTTTTAATTTGTAATTTATCTGATGATACTCAATTGAGTTAGGATGAATAGCTTGCAAGAGCATTACAGGAAAGTCTGAAAGTTGAGTTACTATCTAGAAATTGACATGTAAATGGAAATGGGAGTGGGAATGGGAATGGAAATATTTTTCAACCTATACCCTTCCTGTATTCAATAGGATTTATGTAGCTTTTGTTATTTCTTTTTTGTAATTTCGTTTTTAAAAAAAATCCTTCTACCCTTATATACCTTACTTTTTTTTGCAGGTTTTGCTCATCACTCTGCCAAATGCACCAGCAGGTATGTATTGGTATGATCTGGAGTTATTTATAGAGGTATCTCAATCTACGAAATAGAATTCTTATATATTATGTCCCAAAAAAATGGTGAAAGCTAACATCCAGGTTTGTTTAATTTGTTATGGACAACCTTGAAGGGAACTCCAAATGTGGGTTTTGATGGTAGGTACTTCAATAGTGGCATTTCAGGGCAATTATGAAGTTTGGATATTAGGGCTTTTAAGGACTGTTTTGAAGAGAACAATATTAAGGTTTGTTGTTGGTAATGGATGTTGCAAACAGAGAATGCTCGACAGAATTGACCAACTATGGTATATTTCATTTTTGAGGTTTCCTTGCTTTCCCATATGCCCCCATCGATAATTGTTTGATTTATAACGACAAAAATATGGGATATCATGTCTTTATATGATATTATTTTGAACAAATATCTAATTTATGTACCTTTTTGTACTTTATACTGTGTGAAGTTGGACATATATTTCAATAAGAATGATGTTTACTTGAAAATGTTATTTTATCTATTTTATATAAGCTTCAGCACAATGCTAACTTTATAGGACATGGTGTTGTGTCAAGGGATAAAGCATTGTAGCATGCAAGAAGACCAAAAGTTGATTTGGTTGTGGTATAAAATACACATCTTGACTGAACTGCCCTTATGTAATGTCTTTTTTGTTCATATTTCAATTTTGTTGAAAGACTGGTTTTTTTATGTTCAAATTAAATGCAATTTTTTTTTAAATTGACTGATTTTAGCAGTAAAAAAATACATATTCTTTTTATCATTAACGGTTTTGTGACTAAACTACCCTTATATATAGTTTTTTTTCTCTGCAAGTAAAAAACATGAATTTCGATTAATTTTCTGAAAAATTTCTTCCATTATTGGAAAGAGATTCATGAAATTGAAATGGGTTGTTGCGATTGCAGATAACGGTGGTTCAACGGAAGCAATTCGTGCCGCCTGTAAAGACTTTGTAGCAATGTTGTTCATGTTTGATCTTACCAGCCGGTGTACATTGAACAGGTGTAAATAATTAAGTTTTTATAATTATTATTTATTATATTGGTGGTTTTTGAAACGGAAATTGTTAATTGAGTTAGGGCTCTTTGATTTTCAGTGTAGTTAATTGGTATCAAGAAGCAAGAAAACATAATCAGGTGAGTGGATGTTAATTTTTATTTCGGTTCAAAAGTCTTTGAAATTTTATTATCAAATTTTTTGTCTGATGATTCCGGTCAAATTGATTGGTTGCAGACGGCGATTCCGGTCATGGTTGGCAGCAAGTTTGATTTTGCTTCTAGGGTTTGTTTGATTGAATTGATCTGAGTTTTTTATGAAGAAATTTTGTTCATTACCTAATGTAACTGACTTATGTGAGAGATTTTGATTGTTTCTGAAATCAATTTCTTGTGGCAACGTGGTATGATAAATTATTGGGCTTCATTTCTTGACTGTATTTATTTTTTTTCAAAGTTTTGATATGTTTTTTTTTTCTTTTCTTTTCTCAGGGCTTATGGAATCTAACAAAGCCGATGATTGAACTTATTAGCATACTGTAACACACACTGATCAACAAATTGATTTTTTTTGTTTGTTGTGGTGACTTTGCTTTTATCAGATACGTGTATTGTCATTTTATCAAATGTTTTTTTGAGCTAGCCAATGTTATATTTAAACAACACTTAATGAGGAAAAACCCATGAAGTATTTGATCCGTGGAATCCGAATCTCCAGTTCCATCCCATCAACCAAAGGATAAACCCATGAAGTATATATTTCGATAAATAGCTTATCCGACAACAAAAAAATTATCCATGACGAAACAATATTACTGCCCCATAACAATACTCAAACTATAAACAAATAGCTGATCAAATAACATTTACAAAGAACAAACAACGGAAAAAATTGTCGCATCCGACCCCCGCAACGCGGGGGTTCCCCACCTAGTATATATATATATATATATATATATATATATATATATATATATATATATATATATATACACACACACACAAACATTTTCTATCTGTTATAACAACATACATTTTACCAATATAGTACAAATGCACTCACCAGACGAAATGTGTCTAGAGGAAGAGCGAATCTGATTATTCTCATTGCCTTGACGTTGCTTAACAGCTTGTCTTTTTCATCTTGAGGAGTATCTTTATGATCAACCAGAATTACGTGTAGGGAGACTATGCTTTGATATGGTCAAATGTTGTTCCTTATCCGAGTAGTTATAAAATCCATTTTCAAGTATGGTGTGAACTATGCAAGAGGCTTATGTAGTCAAGATGGGATTTGTTCCTCTTATGTGTTGAGAGTTAGACATCTAAGGCCCCTTACCAAAAGTTGAACAATTAATGAGATTGATCGTGATCCGTATCTCATGTTCAACACGATGTTTGTAGCAAAGGGATAACTGATAAACTTATCTTATACACCAATTGTAACTTTGAGCTTTTTGGGAATTGGGGGTTGATAGAATGACACAAAGTCGTATGTTGTTGGGGGCAGTGAAATGTTGCTAGATGTTCACCACTATCTATATCAGTCTAATATGAGTCTTGCGCAAGTGGGAGATTGAAAGATCTAGTATGTTCAAGAATCATATTAAAGTGATATTGCTAATTAACATATGATACTAATGAGTCACACTAACAACAACTTGATATAATTGATTATTTATTAGAAATTGATTTTAATAAATATTCAATAAACTCTTATAATTAAATTGGAAGTTATTTATTTCATGGAAATAATAACTTTCATTAGCAAGTAACATTACATAATTCATATGGTATGAATTAATAAGTCATGTACAATATTTTGGACCATAAGGACTTATTGTCTTTTACCAAAAAGTTAAGGTTTATATTTTATAAAAGAGTTTATAAAAATTACCAAGTTTGACTTCTTTTTATATGTAAAACCGCGAGCATGCTTCTATTACGCAAGTTATGGGCTTTTACATATAATAATGAAAAGAATGTATGGCTTAAAAGCATGGGGGGACAATGAGGTCTTAGGTGCATGATTGACTTAAAGTGTCAAGTCCTTTGGATAAAGATTAAGCTTTATAGGAAAGGTTTTTCTCTTTTTTGCTTCACTCTTGCATGATGGCCGAAACTATCACCTCCTCTCTCACTCTCTCTAGTTTTGCTTTGAAGACCTGGAGATTACTTGATTTTACATGCCCTCTTTAAGTTCATATTGGTTATGAACTTAAAGCTTAAGGGTTTAAGAGTTTATGGACTAGCATCTACATCAAGTTGAGTCATTTTTAGTGTCTCAAAGGTTTCAAATTCTTCGTCAAATTTCAAGCCTCCCAAGAGGACCCAAAGAACAACAAAGGTTGTTATTTCTTCATCCTTTCTATGGTTGATGTTTAAATCTTTCTATAACTTGCACGAAGATCCTTGGTGGGTATAAAATGTTTATGTTATGTTCTAAATTTAAAGTCTTCCATTTTCCATATTTTTCTAGTTTATGAAACTATTTTTGAACTAAAACCCAACACAAACACCCAACTCTGTATAGCATAAAGTAGTCTAGACCTGTCTTGCTTTGGTTCAAAAGATTATAACCTTTACCTAGAAAGAGTTGCATGGTTCAAACACCCAAATTCGTATAGCAGCGGGTAAACTAACCCTGTCTCGCTATGGTTCAAAGGATTAATATCTTCACCTAAGAAGAGTTTCATGGTTCAAACACCCAACTCCATATAACAGCAGGTAGACTAAACCTATCTCGCTCTGGTTCAAAGGATTAAGATCTTCACCTTAGAAGAGTTGCATGGTTCAAACACCTAACTCCATATAGCAACAGGTAGACTAGCCCTGTCTCGCTCTGGTTCAAAGGATTATGATCTTTACCTAAGAAGAGTTGTATGGTTCAAACACTTAAGAAGTCTGGCCTTGCCTTGATTCAAAGGATTACAACCTTTACAAAAAAAAATAGAATGCTATATAGGCCATTTACTTGATCCTAGGACACCAAGATTTGGCTTAGGATATCAAGAAAAATAAACTATATAAACAATATGATGCAATCATACTATTCTTTCCCAGAATAAAAGAAATGGGAAAGGGAAAAGAAACTACCATGAAGCCATAGCTAAAGAAGTTAGAACATTAAACGAGAGCATGTTTTAACATACATACCAAAAGAAGAAAAGATAAAAGCAATTGTCTAGTTACAAGCCAACATTTGGCATACAAAGGCCACACAGGGCCATCAAAAGAAGTAAAATCATCATTCACACCCATCCATGGTAGCACAACAGGGAAGAAGACCCAAAAACAAGGAATAAATTTCATGTACCAACATTTCCATCCAAGCCAGTGACCTTGATGTTGCTACTAGGACTTGCCCCTCCATTATCATCATCTACACAGAGCCGAAGAAGACCACTAACATCCAGAGAACCCAGATTCATCAAGGAGGCATAGTCACATGTGAAAAATGAGTCAATGGCATCTACTATCTCTCCAGTATGACTAGAGGTAGAACTGGAAACATTAGGATCAAACGTCCTAACAACAATTTCTTTACGCAGTAGCTCCCTTCCTAATTCTTCGCCTGCATCAAAACACATGTTGTTTATCTGGCCAACGCCTTGCAGAAAATTTGGAAGCTCAATAACCTTGTCAACAATTCTAACAATCCCATCCTTGACAAGCCAGTCCAAGTTGCCACCAAGTTGGGATAGCTCCGCCTTGCGGTCAAGCAACAACTTCTCCTTATCCAAAAGTTCCCTCTCTAAGCTCTCTACACGAATACTCAGGGCTTCATTTTTCTAAAGAGTATCATCAAGCTTCATCTCCACATTAGCACAACGCTCCTAAAGTTTCATCTTCTCACTAGCCAACAATTCCAATTTTTGGTGAGAAGATTCGACCTTAGCTTCCAAAGAGGTGGTGTGTTGCTGAGCATTCCTTTCATTTGCATGAAGTTTGACCACAATGCTCTTAAGATTTCGAATATGCCGAGCTCATGTAGTAAGGAAGAAGGGACTCTGATTGGAAGCAAATTCCATGAACTCAACCGTCTGGTCATCAGAAAAGGCCTCCATCTCAGAAACAATACCCTTGGGAAATGCGTGATGTGAAAACTATGCAGCAACCTCTTGATTAGAGAGACGATAGTCATCAGTGAGATTCCACTTGGGAACAAAGATGTTGTTAGTAGAAAGATTCTTTCCTTGAAAGTTGGCAATAAGTTCGTCATAATCAGACATCTCCGAAGCAACATGAGATTTGATTTAAGGAGCCATTGGTGGTTGTGTTGGAACAGTCCCACAAAGATCTTTACCGGTATTAGGATGCTTAGGCGCCCCTTCTACCCCATCATACTGGTGTGTGTCATCATCGAGGATACTTATCACCTCCTCATTAGAAGGCAACAACGTAGCAACAAAGTTGGTCTCAAGCTTACAACGGCGATAACAATCGGCAATAGATTCCCCTTTCATAACGTCAGGAAAACCTTCAATGCTCAATACCCCTCTTTTCCTTGACATACGAGAGGCAGTTCCAGTTAGGATTCCTTCCTTTTTTTCCTCCACACGTTCTAAGCCTATAGATTGGATAGGTGGGGGAAGCTCGAGAACGGGAACACTAGACGGATCGCCAGACGAAGACGTATTCCCAACAATAGCCAAAGGTGAAGGAACAGAAGCAGTAGGAGTAGAGGAGAATCGAGCCGGTTTTTGGCTGGGAATGGGAAGAGTGTCGTGCAGGGCAATTGGTCGGAACTTTAAATCCGCTTTGAATCACCATCCAAGCACGTCCGAAAAAGATAAAACTTGCTCTTCCCCTATAGAGTAAACATCATTTCAAAAAAAAGGAGGGGGAACAAGGAGAGAGAGTCATACAAGGAAGTTAGAAGTAAAACAAGAAACAAAGAGTCTTACCCCCGTTAACAACATAAAACTCCGGCATCTCCTAGCCGCGTCGCCACTCAGTACTCATCCCTGCTCCGGCGAGCATGTATTCAGGGAACTCCTCAGGAACAACAATGAAGCTATTTAATAGAAGAACAACTTCTTGATCATGTGTAAGAAGCTTGGGAGCGCTATCAGCAGTTGATTCAGTATGAAAATAGGGTCCGCCAACATGAGAACCGTTCACCCCAAACAAATGATTTTTCCAGTTCTTTTTGCTGCTCCTTCCATCGGGGACAAAAACAAGAGCTTTCTTCCGAGCATAGAAAGTAAATTTGTCACCGGCAATTGAGAACAGGAAGAAGTTCTTGAAAACCAAAAGACTGGGAAGAAAACCCTAAACCGTCAGAGCATCTCGAAGGCCACTACTTTGTTTTACGGCATTGGGGGTAAGATCATAGACGTTGACTCCGTTCTTTCGAACCACCTCATCTAAGAAATTGGTGGTAGGAAGCCGATAACCGACATCAAAATTCTTAACGAAGATGCCAACCTTTCCCCAAGGAGGTTCCAGAAACGAGGCTCCATCCAAAAGGATCAGCACCCTATCTTCTGGTTGAAAACCATACTTCTCCCGAAGAGAATCAACATATTTCGAGGTTGGAACCACACCGAAAGAAGAAACCATGCTGGTAGGAAGAGCCATTTCTTCTGAAAATTATAGAGTAGAGAATATGGAGAAATGGTAGTTACCAAGAAATGAATGAAAATAGGGATAGACAGGTATTTAGGAAGAGGATCAGAAGGAAATCAAACGCCTAGAAAAAACGGGCGTTGCAACTGCCCAACGGATAACTATGAGACACGTGTAAATATAAGTCTAGCACATAATGACTTTCCGCGCTATTCCATCATTACTAGACTAAGGGCTTGATGACGTACCCCATGACAGTATGTCATGGCGTCACTAGCGCGACAGCAACTCTCCTAGCAAGGCGGCCGCTGACTCAACTAGACAGAAGAAATAATAGCTGAACGGCTTTGCCTAGCTATTCATATAGATCAGCAGGAGAAACCGCCAAGACGGGGTCTTGGCGAGATGGGCATTAGCTGTCGTACATAGGGTCATCTATCTTTGGCAGCCATCCAACGCCATCTGAGTAGCAAAGTCTCTTGCATCCCACATATGGTCATTAGCTGCCGTACATAGGGAAACATTTACATAGGTTATGCACGTGCCACTACCATTTATTCCATCTATGCCAATTAGAGCGAAGAGCGAATTAGACAAAGACAGATGTACCAATCAGAGCTTGGTATCTGGAATACTGTTACTATAGCCCCCCTCCCCCCGTCAAGGTAGAGGCCTTAAGTATTAAAGGAGAAAGGTAATACCTAAGAAGGGATCCGAATTCTTATCACTCCTCTCACACGAAAGTTATTCTCCCACGTAGCTGAATAGATCATCGGAGTGTCCTCCCGGGATCACCTCCCAGGGTACAACTGACGTAGTATTTGATTGTGACTATAGATTCCATGCGGAAATCTCTCAGCCAACACAAGATCCTGCCCACGGAACAACGTCGCAATAATTACCTATGTCATAGTAGTGTGAATGCTAGACTAGATGACTCTTAGTTGCTGATGGTTGCTATATGTATTTACCGAGTTGCTGATAACTCCAGGACTGCTGATAGTCCTCATGACTACTGATAGTCCCAGGATTGCTGATAACCCATAGTTGTTTAGATTGACATAGGGGTAGTGGTTTGCTAGTTAGAGCACCAGGGGGTCAGTGATCATCTGATTGAGTGCCCTAGGGGTTGAATGCAATCATGTAGGATAGCCCGAGAACTCTTGATCTAGGCTTTCTTGCATGTTCCTTGTTTGGTTGTGAGTCTAGCATGGGATCACATGTCCGACTGTCTATCTCACCTCTGATTACATATAGCTATGCATCCATTATTGGTCTGCCAATGGAAAATAGATTGATGTGTGAGGCTCGGTATGCTATAGAGAACTGTTATAAAGGTAGACTAGTGTAGATGTTTCCTGTGTTTATGTTCTTATCCGTTGACTGCTGTTATATGTGTGTCTGTGTTGCTGATAATTTCAGGACTGCTGATACTCCACAGGGTTGTTGATAACCTACATGGTTGCTGATAACTAGGGGTGGCAACTCTCGACCCAACCCGTAACCCGACACTGACCTAACCCGAAAATAAACGGGTTTGGGTTGAGATTTTTGACCCGCCAACCCGTTTATTTTATGGGTTGGGTTGGGTTACCTGTTTGGGTTCGTGGGTCAACCCGCCAACCCGTATATATATATATATATATATATATATATATATATATATATATATATATATATATATATATTACATTTATAAAAAATAGATATATTTAAATATTAGTGAAATCTGATTTCCTTCCGTATTCGTATGTGGTTAGTCCCCGTTTGTGGTGGCCTAATAAAAAAAACATGTCATTTTTAGATATTCATGAGTCACGAACAAAGAACACATCCACTTTGTATGAATGTTTTCATTTTTTAATTTTATTTGGATATTAATGACTTTATCAACTTATTTTGAAAACCTCTTTTTTATGTTAATTAGTTTAATCACTTTATGATTTTATGTTGAAAAAACCTCATTTTTAAAAATGCATTGCTTATGTATAAAACGGGTTATATGGGTTGGGTTCAACCCATTTACTTGTTAACCCGCGAACCCATATACTTAAACGGATTATATGGGTTGGGTTGGGTTGAAGTTTCCAACCCACCAACCCATATATTATATGGGTTGGGTTGGGTTGGGTTTATGTTTTCTGGCCCGTCAACCCGCTAACTCGTGACCTGCCAACCCGAACCCAACCCAATTGCCAGGCCTACTGATAACCCATAGGGCTGCTGTAAGCCCATATGACTGCTAATAGTCCCAGGGTTGCTTACATTGTTATGTTGTGTGTGATATTTAGGATTGCTGATAGTCCTTAGGACTGTTGATAGTCCCAGGGTTGCTGATAACCCATAGCTTATTATTATGATGTGCTGTATTGTAACGCCCGTAAATTCAAGATACATATAGGTAATAATTATTAGAATTAAAATCCTTGAATAGGATAATCTATAGTCGTGCGCGCTGTAGACTATATAATAGAAGTTTCATATTAAGAAAAAATAGGAAAAATCAACGGAACGTTCGTAAATCGTAAAAATTAGTGCTCCTATATATATATATATATATATATATATATATATATATATATATTATATATATATATATATATATATATATATATATTAAAAGTACACGTCGTCCTGATCCCCAAAATATAAATTTCGAAGAAATCCGACTCAGTATGAATTAGATATGATTTTTATAAGATATAAAAGTCAGTCGCACACAAGAAATGTGTGACGTAAAAAGGTACGAAGATAATGGTTGACTTTTGGGTAATGTCACCAAAATGAAAGTCGTAGTACTCTTTAAGATATGAATTTTTGGTAAAAGAAACACCAAAATCAGAGTCTGTCCGAGAGAGTTATGATTTTACCAAAACCATTTAATCTTATAAAAATAGAGACGAAAAATGAAGTCCGAATTAGCTGATGGAGTCTAAAGGAAAGTTGTAGATCCCGCCGAGAGCTATCCGGGGATATAAAGAACGTCGAAAACAAAGTCCGTATGAAGACGTTATGGAATTTACAAAATCTGCGATTTGCGCCCCGCACAATGCGCGCCATGTGTACGCCGGTGCGCATCGTGCGCTTCTAGAAGTTGAAAATACGGACCACGAAGAGGCCGACATGTGACACAAAGTGGTTGGGGAGACGTAGCCCTAAAATGCGCGACGTGCACCCCAAACTTGGCTAGAAATACCTCATTTGTGCTCATTTCCTTCTACACACATCTCTATAACTCCCTCTCTCGATTTGCTTCGGTTCTAGCCTCATTTTTCTTAGTTTTAGCCTTCGAAAAAGCCCTTCGATCCCTGAAGATGTAGTAGCTAGTGAGTAGAAGCTCTGCCAGTGCAATTTCCTAACTGTTGTCTGGAAGAACCTTTGTAAGTTAAGCTACACTATAGTCTTTTCAGTGTAACTTATATTTATAGTCATAAGTCGTTATTATGAACTTATAAATAAGATTTATCAGTAATGTCATGTCGTTATACTGATTGATCTACTTACGGGAGAGGTGTCTAGAATTGTCATGTTGGCTTGGTTGTTGGATTTCAGAAAAGCTATTATGTCGAAATGATCATGCCACCCAACTGTCCTGTCTAACCGGTCCTTACTTGATAGATCTTGACGTAGACATTGAGATTAGTGAGGATCTAGACTATTATTAGTCTCCGGGAT